CAAAGAAAATGCTTAAATATACAGATGAACATTTGCGTATAATAACGTTTATTAAATCTCACGATACTCCTTGGAGGTGTTGTTACTACTTTTCTCTTGGGGTCTGGAGTGGAATATTAGGCCTCCAACAGTACATCTCCACTTTATCCTATTCTCTGTGGTCCATCTCCATTTTCTTTGACATATTTGTTGAACAACAGATAGTTGATTGATTCATTCCCAGAGTTACTTGTTGTTTGGATGCTTTCCTTTTATTCCTTTACCTTCCCAGTGGAACATAGGGCTTCAACCTAGAGGCTTGAAGTTTCTGTAGCAGTGTTAATTTTTACAGGATGAGGTTGCTAGCCTCATGCCCAACCTTTCCTCTTTACCAGTCTCACTAATGGCTTAGCGAGGTAAAGGAGTGCGTGGGTGGCCGGGGATCGAACCCCGGACCACCTGCGTGGTTGGCGAGCAGTCTACCCCTGTGTCACCAACGCACTGCTTGGAAGTTAATGAAGTAAAATAATCTAGCTTCCAATCTGCGCATCAATTGTATGCTGAAGACAAAAAAAATGCATGCATGATACTACTTGTGAGGCAAATGTATGGGAAAAAATTCAGTGTTCAGTTGATTTTGAATGATCAGTTTCAGATTGAAAGGAAGTTAACAGTTAACTAGCAAATTAGAAAAAAAAGGTTTTACCGATTTGCAATGCTAAGCATCATTAGTGAACACAGAGAGAAGAATAACAGTCAATCAACTCTCTACCTCAGTTTCATCGACTTTAAAAAGGCCTTTATCAGCATCGACAATGAAGTAATTCGGAAATTGCTTCGAAACTACGGAATGCTACAAATCTTTATCAATCCCATTGAACAACTAGATGAAGATGTCACATGTGAAGTGATTCACAGCGGAAAGTTAGGCGAGGCCTTCGAAATGACTGTCTACTATCACCCATGATATTCCTAATCGTGGTGAACTGGATCATGCGATAGACTGTGGAGAGCGAGAAGACAGGAATAGATCGGCTCAACCATAGGTGAAATGGATGATGTGAAAGCCAGCCAGTCAGAATCGGAAAGGCAAGATACGCACGCCTTCATCAACCCGAAACCAGGTTGGAAATCTTCCACACTCAGCATAAGGAACAAGATTCGCATTTTCAATGCCAATGTCAAGTCGGTCCTTTCATGCGGGACAGAAACTTGGTCAGCGTGTTACGGAAAAGATTTCCAACGAGTTACAGACTTTTATCAACAGCCGCCATCTTCGCTGGCTCCATACTGAAGATTAAATGACCAGCCAGCCGGCCAAAAGGAATTAGTAACAAGAAACTCTGGCTGAGTACAAAGCAACCAAAGGTCGTTCGCTGAACAAATATGTGGGAGAAAATGGAGATGGAAAGGCAATACACTGAGGGAACCGTCGAATGACATCACACACAATGCAGGCCATCGCTCGAGTGGGTCGATGGTGCGACGGCGACATGGGGGATATTGTGCGAAGAGGAGATGAGAGATGATGGGCTGGAGAAGGACGGCAGAAAATAAAACAAACTGGAGATGTGTTATTGAAGTCCTATTTTCCACTCGGAACCATAGGGAACAGTAGTAATAATAACAATGAGACTTTGAAGATCTGGACTTCTCAGATGAATTATCTCTAATATCACACAAACTCGGGAATCTACAAGTGAAAACAAACAACAAGTTGGCAGAAGCATCACTCAGCCGAGACACCACTTCACGAGAATATACAGAAGACAGAGGTGGTGAAGATACCTAACTAACCTACAGCAACAACAAGGACAAATCAACATTGACGCAAGAAATTTAAAAGAGCTCATTCCCTTCACTTATTTAAGCAGCATCGTCTCAACTACAGGCGGCGTCACGGATGAGGATGTAGACGGCAAGATCGGACGAGTAACACAGACTTCCATTAGTTCGAAATCAGTGTGGAAATTCGCGGCACTCATCATCATAGGGAAAAGGACTGGAAATTTCAACACTAATTTCGAGTCAAGTAAGTTCTTCTATATGATTCAACAGCTTAGCACGTCATCAAAAAGCATTTCCAACCATCTGCAAACAACTGTCGACGTCTGAGTTCACCCCACAGTGAAGGTTATACGGCTGACTATAAGAGATAAAGAACGTCAAGGATATCCTGGAACGAAGAAACTAACAACGTATTGTCAGAAAGTATGCTAAGGAAATTAGAGATGGATTGACCACACGATGAAAGGACCGTTTAGTGATATCCTAGGGCAGGCAGTCACTCAGCTGGAACCTGATCAGGAAAGGAAGAGGGTGAGATGAAAGTTTACGGGCAGTTGTGGAGCCAGAAGAAAACAAAATGAAACGTCAATGTGATGCAGAAGCTCTATGTCCCACTCAGAATCTAAGGGAATAGTGGTAATAATATTAAATAATTCTGAATAACAAATTTCTCAAGATCTCATAATAAAATTAACTGAAGCGTATGGAAAATGATTAGGAAAGAGTTGGTGAACACGAAATCACTGAACAAGCTCTACAAAGATAATGATCAGAGTACAAATAAACCTCTATCCGAGCACTGAAATAAACGATTAATGCTCGAAGGTGAAACTGATATCAAGCATAAAAATAAATAAGCTTACGGATTGTGCTTCATCAGCCTTTGCACTTATCAATGCTCCATTTCTGAAAGTCTCTTATTTTCAACAGGTAATTTCATTAACCCTCATATGTTGGATGTCTAATCAAGTGAGTTAAGATCACAATTTTTCATATCTCAATCACGCTTTAGCAATCTCCTAATGGCTTATTTATTCTGATAGTCTATATACTTCAATACTTTGTTGCTACCCTTGTTGTTTTATTCAAGAAACTTCGATCACATTACAAATGTAAGTACAGAAATATCCTATTAACTCAACACATCGACTTATCTATATGCCATGATCATTCTTAATTGTTGTTCCACGCTGTGATTGACTGGTTTCGACGTAGAACTCTGTACAAATGTATAGCAATCCCAGTCGCCACTCTCCCTCCTTGTTGCGCACAAAGCGAAAGAAGAGAGATTCAAAAGAGAAATATTAAACAGAATTATGACGCAAAAAGAATAGTAATATGGAAGAAAAATAGAATTTTATTGGACATGATAAATCACGAAGAGTGAACGCATCCGCGCCAGCCATTGAGAACAACGACTTTGAGCCATATTATCTATTATCTCCAGCCTTCATTGGTTTTTACCATCTGGAGAACCCCAACTAGGAAGTCTACACCTCCTACGTGGTTAACTTAAACTAACTGTCAATGGTTTCATGGACTGATGAAGCCACGTTTTGATTTGATCACCATTGGCTCTTTTCGAACCTAAAACATCCTATGTCAGCTAGCAGTGACCGGTCGGTCGGTTTTCGACATAGAACTTTGCACATATGTGCGGCAGTTCAAGTCGCCACACTCCCTCCTTGTAGCACACAAAGCAAGAGAAGAAAGTAGAGGAAATGCATAATATAGACAGTAAACAGAGGTGTGAGACAAAGGAATAGTAATAACGGAGAACAAAACAGTTTAATTGGAAATCATAAGTCACAAGGAGTGGATGCATCTGCGACAGCCACTGAGAACGATTTTGAGCCATGTCACCAATCGTTTCCAACCATTGCTTTTTACCGTCCCGAGGACCCCAACCAGGAAGTCTACATCTTCCTACGTGGCTTAGACTAACTGTTGTGGATTTCATTGACTGGTGCCATGTTTTAGTTTGACCGCCGCTAGCTCTTTTCCAGCCTGGCCCTATATCAGCTAACATTGCCCGGCGAGGAAGGCGATGACTAGGCATGCGCAGCACATGTGCTAACCATCTCACTCAATCGACATAACTTCAGTCTCGTCGATTGATTTCCCCTCCTTACCTAGCACTTGACGGATGCCTAACCTCACTATTGCTCACCATATAGTACCATTTCACACGGGATGTAGACAGAACGCAGGCACCTATGATCAAAGAAAGCTAGCCAGCCTTTTCATGTCTTCCACTTTCAATCGCCATGCAACATTCACAGCCATAAAGGAGGACGGAGCGAACTGCTGAGCAATACATACGCCCTTTGGTCGACAGGTAGCCGGATATCACGTTCACGCCAGCGATATCTTAAGTTGGCAGGCAAATGCCAAACGAGCCTTCTGTATCCGTGTTGAGATTTCGTCGGCGATCAACTCACTGGCGCTGGCTGATGCAACTCCCCAAATAAGTGAAGAGGTCAACACGCTCCACCAACCACTTCACCTCCTTTTTTAAGCTAGGAGTCAGTGTAGTCCAGTCCTGCAGCCCGATCATCTTACATTTGGTGGTAGCGAATCGCATGCCAAACATTCGGAGATTGAAACTCAAGGTTTTCAGAAGACTGTTTAGTTTGTCAGTGTCTTCACTCAGGAGAGAGGAATATATCATCTGCATATTCTAAGTCAACGAGATTATTCCCTGATGGTAACAAGTCAATCCCTGAGTCACTGAAGTCAGTTAGAGTTAAGTCCATTAGTACATTTATGATGAAACTAAACAGAAATGGGGACAGTGGGCATCCCTGATGTACACCATTGGTTGTCAACAATTCAGATGACAACCCACCGTGAGCTCTCACCTGGTTTACTGCATCAGTTCGAGTAGAATGCCTCGGTCAGTGCAATGTATCTTCTCGGCATTCCCTTCACAGCCATATATCTCGGTCGACAGAATCGAATGTCGCTTTTAGGTCAAGAAATACGACGATTGTTGTACGCCGGCAAGTTTACCTATGTTCCAGAATCTATCGAAGGATGAAAATATGATCAATACACCCTCTTCCTGGTCTAAAACCTGACTGATTCACTCGTGTTTGTTTCTCCTGAGCACCGCTTAGTCTACGCATGATCATGGAGCTTAGAACTTTAGATACTATATTGGTCAAGCTAATCTTCCTGTGATTACAGGAAGACTTGTCTCCCTTGCCAATATACAAGAAAGGCGATAATAAGTTCCACACTGTATATCGAAAAAAAAATTTAAAGTATGATAAAAATGCAATAGAATTTAGGTTGTATGCAGCAGCTGACAAGATACTGATGACAAGACAATTTTATTTTAAAATAAAAGTCTTTTTGCAGTGGTTTGAGGAGATCACTTTTCATACGAACAAATATAGATAAATATTAAGTAGAGATCATTTATTCGAAGTAGAATCAATAATAACACAAACTAAGCGTATATTATTAAGTCAGACACTTCATTAATTTCGTCGAACCACCATATAAGTGACAACCGAGATCTACAAAGTGGATGTCCTGAGGTTTTGTGCATTTAACAAAAAATTAACGCTTAGAAATGCATGTTAACACTGCTTTTAAGTTAAGTATTGAAAGGGAATAAATGAATAAATAAGTAAACAATAAAAACAACATACCTGTTTGAATATTAGCCTAGTTATATATAAACACAAAACAATTATTCGCTTTCCATGTCACACATATTAAATACAAGAAGAAAAGAAGAAATTAAGAAAGACCAATTACTAATTGGATACAGTAATATATATTGATAATTTTCAGCATTCTATTTGGGAAGAAACACAAAATATACGAAAATCACAAGATTTATACAAACATCGCATTGTCACACGTAAACTGGATGTACAGTGTTAATGTACAATGCGTTAACGCTTAGATGGAAGGAGAAGAAGAAGAGGGAGAAGAAAAAAACAACAAAGGTATCCAAGGTCAGTAGTGCATTAGCATTCCTGAGACTGCATTTCATGAAGAGTTGGACCATAGACCTGCGAGATGTTCAATGTCGAAGAGACTCATAGAATTTAGCTTGGCAGATAATATCTATAGGACATTAAAAAAATGTAAATTAATAAAAGAAGAATTGTTGTTGATACAATGAGCTGTGTATTTTATACATCATTTAGAAAGTTAATCTTGTGAATGATTTTTCTTCATTACCCTTAGGCATTTTTGAGGTTGTATGCATAAAACACGTGCGTCGGTGGCATAGTGGTTAGGATGCTGGCCGACCATGCACATGGTCCGGGGTTCGATTCCCGGCTGACGCACTCCTTTACCTCGCTAAGCCAGAAATAAAGCTGGTAAAGGGTAAAGGTTGGGCATGAGGCTAGCAACCCCATCCTGTAAAAATAAACACCACTGCTACAGAAACTTCAAGCCTCTAGCTTGAAGCCCTATGTTCCACTGGGAACGTGAAGGGAAAAAATACATAAAACACAACACAGCATCTTGTTAGTAGGTAATATTTGCAGAAACTGTGATAGTGTTTACATTGTAAGGCATAATTTCTTGCCACTCTCCCAACAACATACAAATACACACAAACCTGATCACTAAACTCTACTAAATATTCCCTTGTAAGATGATGTTTATATAGTGACAGTAGTAGTAATAAAAATGTACAGAATCCATTTCTGCTGAATATATTTCACTCACACACCGAAGCTATTTAAAAATAGCCGTACACAACTAGACAACTTCCCTGACAATTTTTAGCCTCAGATTAGAAATGTGCATACGTGACAATCGCAAGATTTACATCAGTAAAAGCTAAACTCTTATAACTTGTTCACAGCGTAAAGACTAAGAATCCATTTCAAATAAAAATAAAAATGAGCATACGTAGAAAATATAGTGTATGCGATTACATGATCTTGGATACTAATTCTAACAATTTTAACCGTTTACTAAATACTTTCTCACGCACACATACGTGAAATAGCAGCTTTATGAATTTGTCATTTTCTCTACTGCATAAGTATGGTGAAATGACGTAAATCAATGCATTAAGTTCTACGGTCTAAATGTACTGAGTGGTACACAATAAAAATACGTTATTTGACAGACTTGTAGAATAATTAGATGCTTCTAAAGTGAAATTATTGTAATTTATTCCTTCAAGTTTTGGGTAATAATATTTGATGAATTTGTACTTAATCTAAACGAGATATACACTTTTGAACTTACTATATAGGAGGTGATAATGAAAGTATGTTTCGTTTCTCTTTGGTTAACTCAATGCAATTGCATTGCAGATTTTATTTTTGTGTTGTACTTTAAAATCAAAACAATTCAAAGTAAAACTTAAAATATCAATTAATGGTCATGAGTTGAACCACTTATGAGCGCTTAGATATGTCTGAGAGTCACGTACAATTTGTTTTAGAAATGGATATTTAAGATATGATGACTAAATATTTTACCTTACGTTTAGTGAATGATAGTAGATCTCTTCGGTTGTATTCAGACGGAATGTCAGAAGCCTGGTTCTGAACACAGTGAGCACTGAATCTAACACACAAATGAACTGAATCTTATAAAGGGTGGCAAATTCAACCTCATTATTATTGTACCCAACAACCCTTTGCAATTATATGCAGCTGGCAATGCACCATGACTACTGTGTGAGGATTAGTTATGCTGCCCAAGCCTTGGTGCGTGGAGCGACGTTCAGACCCGTAACCCACTTAGTTGGAAGTCCAGTGCCTAGATCGATGAAACAAATGGTGGCAGGCAGTGCTGGATAACAAACTGATAGAAATATGAAAGGATATAACAGTGATGTGGTCAGCTATTTAGACTTACGATGGAACTGCATAGGATAGACGACTTAGGATTAACACATCAATGGATTTCAAGGTGGTTTCATTAAACTAGTTTGCATCGTTGTATATTAATATACACGAGAGAAGTTGGATTTTTTATATCTAGAAACAAATCAGCTTGGTTGGTGAATACCAGTGATCTCCGGATTAAGAAAACCAAGCAGTTCAAGAACCATTAAACCATAAAATTGGGTGTAGACTATTTTAAGGGCACACTGGTCACATCACTTTTCGGTAGGTTTCAGAGAACAAATTTGGTTTCTGATGTCCGATGCTTGCCGTATTTGTTGATCCGAGGTGCTGTGATATTGCCTAGATGAAGAAGCAGTACTAAGTGCCTTAACTGTACTCAGTCATGCATTTAAAATGAACTCACGTGGCCCATAGAGGTTATTTATCTGAACTAGCAGGTGTTATTCTCCCTTAGTTTTACTCTTATTAAAGATTTAAGGATGAAGAGTTCTATGAATCTCCATCGAATGTGTGACACATGATCGATACACGGGGAGTGATTGCATTTTATCAAGGCTCCAGGGAATTTTTGTTAACGAAATTAAAGTAGGTTACACAGTGGAAGAGAACATTTTACCAGTAATATCTTTCACAGAAATAGTGATAAATCGGTTATGTACTTAACTTCCCAAACCTAATTAATATAGACCAGCTTTCTAAAACACAATACAAACTTGATAATACGTAAACTAATTTAAAAACACCTAAATATGTGATACTGTAATTAAGGACAAGCTAGTGGAATGATTTCCGTTTACAGGTATTGAAGAAAAACCTCTTTCGATAAGCTCACAAAAATTCACAATGGCTAACATAGTTTGATATACCTCAGTGAAACAGTACATTCACGTGGATGGCGCACAAAGCGAACTTTATTCCAAAGTATAACAAGACAGTTACAGCCGTTTCTAAACACCTGCAAATAATTTTATTTCTTATTACCTTTTTAGTGGAATCTCCCACTAGTCTAGGATTTAAGTAAAGTGTCTCGTGTTGGTCTGGAAAATGAAAATTCAGTGACTGATCTCTGCCCCCACCTATATACATTGCTGCTGCTTCCTCTGATTAACCAGTACACAAGAAAATTGTAGTGAGAAACCATAGCATGACTAACAGTAATAAATAGTGCTCAGAAAGTTATCCATCTAAGGCCACTATATAATTCACTAGGCGGTTCAAAAGGTTAACCCACTTTATATGGAGTTATAGCTGTCATTGTGTCCAATTTTCACAATAACACAAACCGTACAAATTTACTTGTAGAAGTCTAACAGTCAAATAGTGAAAACGAGGTTAAAAGGCACGTAAACAACCCCATTTACAAAGTTATCCACTTTGGGTAAAAATGAATTCAGCGGCCTAACCTGGAAAAATTTCGACACCACTTCATCTGCATTTGAATCAGGAAGCTTTTCGGCAATATATTTCCGAAGTAAAGACTCGAAATCACTTCGCTGTATTGTGTTCTTCGTCAATAATGTAAGCCTATCACCGTCCTTGATTTCGTAGTTAAGAAGAAGCTTATTTTTATCTGAATCTACGATTAAAAATCAAATACATTTTACCTAGGAGAGGGCATCCTTTATACACCAAACGTTGGTACTCAGGATCGATATCAAAGGCACATTTCACTGCAGCCAGTAAGTCTGACACGTAGGCCCCATCATCGACCTGCAATAACTTGCGAATAAACCAAACTCAATACCAACCTGTACCACCTTTTCCGCACGCGTAAGAGGTTTCACTCTTAGTTGCATTTATGACATAACAACCGCCTGTAAATGTAATCAACAAAACAAAAATCAGACGAAACCTTAAGTAAGACAAAAGTCTTTAGTTACTGCAGTTAAAAGATTTGATGTCATTGTTAACATATTTTTGGTGCTGAAGAACGTCGCATAGAGTTTACAAAACTACGCAGACGAGTCGCAGATGTTCACCGAAGATCAGATACGGTTATATCACTACCAAAAAGCGAATTCAGAGAAACTGTCTTGTTTTATGCAATCTTTCAAAAGGCACACTAGATATTGGGTATACCCCTGTTGCTATCTGGGATAAACAGTTCGGTTGCTTGAGACTCAGTTGTTACTGTCACAAAACGGTTTTCTGTTCATACCTTTACCTACAAGGTATGTTGACTCGTCCACTAGCAGTTGTTCTGGTGTGCGCTAGGAGTGATGGAATCTTGGTTGAACACGGCACTGAAATGACTGTAGATTTCCATTATTCATTCCGTGCCACATCTCTGTACCAGTTATCTCTGAAACCATATGCAAGTTTTCATTTGGTCTCCACATGGTCTCCACTGTGTCACATTCGTACACCAACTCAACAAGCAGACTTGCCTCGCCATTTGAGATTCTTCTTACTGTATGTGCAATCCATCTGCATTTCCTTCTGAATCTTTGTTGAGCTATAGGTTGTTGGCTCGCCCGCTGCCTGCCATGGTTCCTTGTTGTAAATCTCTCCTGGCTGGCCAGCTGATCTTAAGTATTGAGTGAAGACAGCTGCTACTGGGATGTAAGCGACTCAGACTTTATTACTAATGCTAAGTACTGTATATCCCCAATCTACCTTTATGTGAATTAACGACTATCTTGCATTCCTCACCTTGCCTGATTCCATATTTTAATGAATGCATCCTACTAGTTCTACTACCAGAGGTGACTGGTGTTTGTTACTGGTCGGGTATCCTCACTTCTTTATGTTCATCTTAAGTCCTGTCATCGTAACACTTTCAACCAAACTGTTGATTTTTCTATGCGAATCATCGAGTTTATACGAAGTGAGGCATAAATTGCCGACGAAGTTCAGATATATTAGAGTCTTCTGCATGTACATTATGCCTCAGCCTTTCTAGCCCATAACGTCTTCCACATAACCCAGTCCACCAAAATGGGAAAAACCATCAGTGACAGTGGGCAGCCTTGTCTCACTGCTGTTTAAACTCTAAAGACTTAGGCAAGCTCCTTCTGAGGATTGCTGTTCATAACAGTTGAGTGTAACCTTTAAGTGGTTGTAGCACTCAGTATTGCCAAAACAGTTTCAAGATAAATTATCAGTAGATACAGTTAAAGGCTTCCTTAAAGTCAATGGATCTGAGGAAATTTTACTGTCGTGCTATTCTCAGTTCATTGAGTATGCGTAACTCCAAGATTTGGTTCGCACATGATTTACTTTTCCTGAATCCAGATTGTTGCGAGTGGGATTTTGCATTCAGATCATCTTTTAGTCTTGCCAGGATGATACGACTTAATATTTGACTTAAGTTGGATGGCAGCATGATTCATGATGGTCCCTGCAGAGGATTACGTCACCCGTGTTAGGTAGTTCAATGAGGTCATCTTTCTGGCGATCGGCAGGTACCTCTCCTCCTCTCCAAACTCTCCACAATAGTGGCGTGAATATATTTGTTGTGATCTCTATGTATGATTTCAATGCATCTGGGGAATTCCATCTAATCATACTGCCCTCCCGGATTTCGGTAATTTTATGACGCACGAAATCTCTGCTTTTTTCTGGCAAGTGATGTTCACTGGTATTTCTTTGGCTGATGGTGGCATCTGTGGACGAGCTGCAGGTAATTTTCGATTTAAGGGTCCCAAGAAGTGATCAGCCCATTGTTCCCTTTGTTCCATCTCCTTGGTGATTTGATTTCCTCTAGTACTCCTCGTTGGCCCCATATGTGTTGGTACCTTCCCATATAAGGGGGCAGTTATCTGAAATAATGTTCTGATGTCTCGTTTTACATGCAGCCTGTTATGATCCAGCCGACAGCGTGTCATGGGAATGCCTTATGTCGTTCCCAGCACCCTTCTGCACTCCTTTATTCGTTGTGCTGCATGTTTAACTCGTTTCCGCCTTCCGTTTTTCACCTTTGAGCCGGCTTTTCTTCTATATTATCATCACCTCTCCTTCTGTTACCTTCCTGGTGTCCTAGGAGAGCCACCGTTTATGTCAGCGTGGTCCGTAAAGTAACCTTCTTTACACTGTCATCATTCCACTAGATTCTAGGATTTATTGTTATTGATTGGGTTAGACTTGGTATAGAGACATCCACTCAAAATGTTCAAAAAGGGACTATCGAAGAAGTATTAGAGGCTAGTACATTTCTCCGGTCTACTTAGATTATTGTCATAAGCCACTTTATGTTCAAGTCCTTTAATATCATCCAGAAAATCTTAAGTGTAACGCTGGAGTGAGAAGAGGATATTACTGCTATCGATTTTCAATAAATAAATTTATTCTCATAGTACAGTACATGAGGGACGCCAGTTTACAGGCATCATCAAATTGTTACAGAAATAGAACCATATAACTCAATCAAAATTTACAGGCAGTAGCAAGATATGCCTTACATGTTCGCTGGAGATTATACATACACTTGATAAATGTTAATCCCAGTAGTATAAAACAGCCTTTTCACTTATATACAATCATTTCTGTGCAAAGTTGGAAAAATCTGCTAGATTGTCAGTGAGTGCAACACAACAGGTCTTTGGTGGATGGATTATAAGTGCCTGGGAAAAAAATAAAGCTTGAAGTAAATATTCATACCTAACTTTGTTGTGTGCAGAGTCCTCGAATTATAGTTCATTGATGTGTTATTTTGAAATCAGTGATGTGTTTATCTCATTTGATCTGCAATGTCATCGTTGGGAGTCAATACATAAGCTTTAGACGCATTAATTAATGGATTTCTACTGCTTGTGGGTATTTTCTTAGCGTAAGGAAGGTTTATGAATTTCAGCTATTCCGACAGGTTTTGAGAATATTAACTGCTCAGCAACATTATGGATATAAGTTCATTACATTATCTAAGGAAAGGTGGTTGCAGTTGGTGAGGGATATATGGTGCCCAACGAGCGTACATCTGTCCATGTGATGTTGTGGTGAGTTACACCTTTTTCATGTTACCGGTTTATGTCCATTTTATTCCACTTATTGTGTTGGGTAGCAGTTTTACAAACGCGATTTCTTGTCTGTTTGAGGATACGTATCTTAACTGTTAATGTTTTTTCTAGAATTATAAATATAGGCAAAAAACAACAGGTGTAGTATTTAAGCTTATACATTAAATGGACCTATAATTTCGGAGGCTCTCAGATAGGAACTAGAACTACTATCGTTTGCAAACTCTTGTAGTTTGTCATTAAGCACCTTTTTGAAGGAGGCCAATGTACTTGCTTGACACATTTCCATTGGTAGTTTATTCCATATCTGTGCATACCTAATCAAGTAAAACTTTTGCCCGGTGGCTGTTTTACATTGTTCGATAGCTACTGTACCCTTAGTATGTCTTAGTTTGTAGCTATTGTCATCTGAAAGTCGAGTGCCATTAGTAGAGGTAAAAACTAAGTGGTTTAGAAGCTTATAGTAAAGTGTCAAGTTTAGTCTCAGGCGTCTTAGCCATAGTGTTTCTAGTCCTAGGGTATCACATCTAGTGGAGTAGTTCGTACCATTTTCAGTTCCGAGTAATTTTAACGTGAAGTACCTCTGCACTCCCTCGACTTTCAATTTGTCCTCTATGCGTATGCTACTATACATGAATGAACAGTAATCAAATAAAGGACGCACACAAACCTTGTACAACAGAATTCTAGACTCATTTCTGTAGAAGTTCCTGAGTAGAAAGCCGATAAGTCTGCGTGGCTTTGACACTTGTGTGGAGATATGTTCAGAAAATGACAAGTTATGTGAATATTTCAGCCCTAGGTCCAGTACAGATTCCAGTCGTTGAAGTGCATGGCCTTGAATTGTCAGGTCAAGTTCTAAGTTGTTGCAACCTATGCAGAGCCAGCCACATTTTTCGACATTAAATTGGAGTTGCCAGGTGTCACACCATCTATCCATTTTTTCTAATTCTTGCTGTATGGCGTTTACTGTTATCCCAAGATCTGTGTTCTTGCATTTATACGTCACTTTTAAGTCATCTGCATATAGTATTGGTTTACCTACACTAAAGCATTCACAGATACTGTTTATATATATTATGAATAAGAGTGGGCCTAATACACTTCCCTGGATTACACCACTACTTACTGGTTTAGGCCTTGAGATTATCGAGCCAACTTTCGTTGTCTGACTTCGGCCACAGAGAAATGATTTTATCCAGCTCAGGAGAGGATCACATATCCCTAGTGAGCATAACCTGCTGACTAGCAAATTATGTGGAACTCTGTCGAAGGCTTTTGTTATATCGAAATACAGTACAATTACTAGTTCTCTGTTGTCCCTACTTCGTGTAACTTCGTTGAAAAAGTCTATGTGACAGGTCACACATGATCTCTTTTTGAGAAATCCGTATTGTGATGGATCGATAAGTACATGTTCTAGTAAGTTGTCTGACACTTGGTCTTTAACCACTTTCTCCATTATTCGGGATATTACCGGTGTTATATTGATAGGTCTATAGTTGCATACACTGGTTTTGGCCCCTGCTTTGTGCTTGGGTAATATGTATGTGGTTTTCCACACTTCAGGATAAGTTCCAGTTTCCAACGAGAGAGTAAATATTCTAAGTAACAAGACTACCATTTCCGTGCTACCATTTTTGTACATGACAGATGGTATGTCATCTGTTCCAGTACTACCATTAGACTTCAAAGTCTTAATCGCTGAGTCTATGTTTTGTATATTAAAGTCTATTTCGCCTAATTTGTGGTTGCTTTTGCAGGTCATTTGGAAGTTTTGGGTCGGGTGCACTCTGGCGTCATTGCAAAACCACTCATTGAGGAGTTCACTTATAACCTGG